AGAAATGAATTTTCAACTGGGTTCCCGTTCCTAGGAACCCGGAACCCGGTACGAGTTCCCGTTCCCAGGAACCCGGGAACCCTGAGTGACTTGCTCAAAACGAAAGAAAAAGTATGTCTATGAACTCAAACGCGTTCAAACATGCATAGAAATGAATAACCAAGTGGATTCCCGTTCCTTGGGAACGGAACCCTTGAGGAACGGGAACCCTGACACCCACACCCACCGAAGCCCGAATCGAACCGACTTTTGTTGGTTCGAGTTCGGTTCGGTTCGTCTTCATTTTCTAAAACTTGGTTCGGGTTCGGTTCGGTTCGAATTCGTTTTTGGGCAACAAGTTCGGGTTCGGTTCGGTTCGCCTTTTTTTTCTAAAAGCCGGTTCGAGTTCGGTTCGGTTCGGCTTTGTTTTCTAAAAGACGGTTCGGGTTCGGTTCGGTTCGGTTCTATCTAACCCAGATTTCATTTACTGTCTACAAGAAAAGCTTCTAAATTCCATTGTATTCGTGTGTCACGACTGTGTTGTAAAATAACTTGTCCTATGTACAAATAGTAATTCCCCTCTGAACTACAGTAACTTTTTATCCGGAAAGCCCATATCCGTTCTCTTCCGACATATCGCTGAGACACATTTTCTATGATTTAGCATAATTTTATAATTTACATTATCATTCTTTAGTAGTAATTTAATAGACTCCAACGTGCAGTTTGAAGGCGAGTTTATGACAGGTTCTGAGATAAATTTCGATTGGCAAATGAGAAATTGATGAGTTAAAGGATGCCATTTTGATAATAAGTTGAAGTGAGTAGTTTATGAGAACAGGAATATGCAGTAACCTCAAGATATGAATGAAGAAAAGATGATGATATGTCAATTGTTTTAGAAAAAACACTGTTGTCAATTAGACGAGCATCCGTCCGTCCTTTGCAGCATGAAACAATGGAACAAATAGGAAAAATAAATTAAAAATTTCCACCGCGTATAAGTGATCAATCGTCATGGATACATTGTCTGTAATTATTACGAAGAGAGAACAATAAGATGTATGGAAATTAAATTAACTATGTGGAATGATCGGTCGAAGGTCGCTCAATCATTATTAACAACATATTTTTCAAGAAATAGATGATAGTTCAACCAATACTAGTTCGGTTCGGTTCGGTTCGACATCATATTTCAAGAAACGGTTCGAGTTCGGTTCGGTTCGACTGCGTTTCCAAAAAGCGGTTCGAGTTCGGTTCGGTTCGACTGCGTTTTCAAAAAAGCGGTTCGAGTTCGGTTCGGATCGACTCGAACCGAACCGAACCGTCTTAGTTCGGTTCGAGTTCGGTTCGTTTTCGGGCTCTGACACCCACTCACACCGACACCCTCATCCACACCCCACACCCACATCCACACCCACACACCCACACCCACACCCACACCCACACCCACACCCACATCCACACACCCACACCCACCCACCCTCAATCTGATAGAAAAAAATACTGAGAGTATATTAGTTCTTTATTTCGAACAATTAATACAAAAAATCTGTTTTATACAATGTTCGTTACAAACATATGCAGAACAATTATAACATTTAGTTGAAGTTTTTCTGTCTTTAGATGTTTTACACATTGAACACCGTTTTCGTTTTCCTTGTTCAGAATCTTCATTTGATTCTTGTGAATTTCTTCTCGTTATAGGATGACCAACAATAGCTAAAGCATTTTGAATATCTTTATGTAGAAATTTTGAGGTTTTTGAACGAAAATCCAACAGAGATGTTACTAGACTAAGTCCGAGTTCTTCTAAAAATAATCGCCGTTGATATCTCTTATTTCGATTCCATTCTGGATTTTTCGCCTTCCATAAGATAAATGCATTTAGAGCCGCCATATCTATCATACCGTAGAAAATACAAAGCGGCCACCGCTTTGTACCTCTTTTTACCTACAAATGACAAAATGAAAAGATAAAAAATAAAAATATTTTTTACTGTATATTTGTGGCACATTTGATCAACAGTATCAACAGCTCCCTTGGTTTTATTATAATCCAAAACAATAATTGGTTTTCCAGTCTTATTGTCCACCTGATTATCATGATGTTTCGAAGAAAGTAATAAGACAGCTTTATTTTGTTTTGGTACGAAGGAAACTAAAGTTAAATTATCTTCAAAACCAAAAAGCGAAGAACCAACTTCACGAGACTTATTTGATAGAAATTCCATAGGTATTTCTGATTTATTTTTTCGTAATGTTCCTATAAGAGTAAGATTCTTCGTTTGAAGATTTTTCGCCAATGGAACACTTGTAAAGAAATTATCCATTGTAACGTTTCTGTTTGAATCATAAAATGGCTTGAGCAATTCTAAAACTACACTTTCACCTATGTGTTTTTGTTTTTCTTGACCTGGTTGTCGTCCAATGTAAGGAAATGCATTCAATACATAATACGACTCTGCATCAACACATAGCCAGAACTTTAATCCGTATTTGTCAGGCTTCTTAGGGATAAATTGACGAAATGGACATTTTCCCCGATATCCTAATAATTGTTCATCGACGGCAAGATCAAGTCCTGGTGTATAACAGGTTTTTAATTTATCTTGAAAATCTGACCAAATTTCACGAATTGCTGCAAATTTATCTGCTTGTTTTCTCTCTTCTCTTGTTCTTTTATCATCAAATCTTAGACACGACATAATTTTGTCAAAACGGCTTTTTGAAATAGTAGCTTTGAATATTGGAGATTCCAAAGGACTTGTTTTCCATAAGGATCGTAAATTTCCTTTTGATCTTCCTAATAAACCAGCAAGCAATAATAGTCCAATGGAAGCTTTCAATTCCATCATTGTTATTTCTTCTTTTTCATCTAATCCGGTGTTTCGATCATATTCCATATTTGAATAAATCAAAATTGTCTGCATGATTTTTTCCGATATAAGACAAATGAACGCGTCTTCAATAGATGCAACATTTTCAGTAGACTTGGTTGGTCCAGATTTTTCGATATTATCACTGAAAGATTTTATTTTTGACGAAGTAGGCGGAATTGAAGACCAGATCATCCCGGACTTGGAAGTATATGAGCTTTTTCGTGTAGAATCTTCGGTTAATTTAAGATATTCTAAATCAATTTCATCATCAGCGTCTGATATTTAACTTTCATCATTTTCTGTTTCTGAACCACTTTGTTCGTCGTTAAAATCGTCAGATTCGCTATCCTCTTCAATCCAATTGTTCATGATCGTTTTTTATAATACAAAAAGAAATCTTAATCTAGAAAATAAAAAAATGAAGAGATACTAGATGATAGATGAATATCTTCGATCCAAAATCTAATCGAATGAATCATATATCATCCTAATTGGATAGTCCAAAACCCAATCAATAAATACTTGTAAGTAGATTGGAGATAAATATACAGCTAAAATGGTGCATGAGTCTTGAATTTTAATTGAAAATTTAACTTGTTCTCTTGTCTAGTTTTATGTTAAATACTGATGAAATTGTAATTAATTGTATTGAAGGCTTGTAGTGAGATGGAATAGGATAAATCAGTTTCATTTTAGACTACGCAACAGCCATCTATTCATAATAGATGATAAATGATTCCTTAAACCCGAAATTACCAAAATATTATAGTGTATTTCCAAATTTTTATGTCTGGGTCAGAAATGACCCATGTTGGGCGTACTAGGGTTAAATACAGCTCAATATTGTTCACCTAATTCAATGTTATGTTCACGAATCTATTCGAAATAATTTTTATTTTTTACATTATCTATTCAATGAAATAAAATTACATTAAGATAAGCATAAAAACGAGGATTCTTTTTTTTCATCTAATGTACGAATCGCTTCCATTGTTTTAGCATAAAATTTTCTAAAATCTATTAGAAAAAAATAAAAGTTATATGAAAAATAATATTGGAATTGATTACAAAAAAATAGTTCATTCGAAAATGAAAGTAACGATCTGTATAGATGAGTTAATGTAATACAAGAAAATTCAACTGGTCCATCATTGTTGCAATTAAAATCCAACAGGCGTCCGACTTCGACCGGATCACAAGAATTTCGACCTATGTCGCACGCTACTCTACAATATGAATGATTTGTTCAGTACCGGGCTGCCAGGTCTTCCGAATTTTGAATATTTTTTCGAGACCTTTTAATTCTCTAGATTCAAGATTTAATGACTTTGGTTATAACTTCTAATTTAACTTTCATTAGCAATTCTTGCGCTGTCGTTGTTCTACTGTAATCATTCCATAATACAATTTTGAGACTATTTATAATGTAAGATCGTTTGAGTTTAAAATCTATCCGAACTCAATGAATACTTTGTATTGTTTAAAAAAAATGTCATTTGAATCAATAACTTCTTTGACATGGACTGAACTTTAAGTTTAGAAAAGTGTTTTTTTACATGAAAATTGTCTCTTATTATCCTGAATTAAATTCAGCCATGAATGATGAAGATGATGATTCAGATATGAATTTAAGTGAGATTGAAGAAAGAAATAAGTATATCGGCAACAATTTTTGCACAAAATGTTGATAGAGCAACACATATGTCCATAAAAAAGGTAGTATATATATTTGATAGTGAAACAGCTGCTTTCTGAACTTTTTCCGAAGTAGAATATAAAAAATTCCGAATTTTTTCGAATTTTGGTTAAAACATTTCGATTTCTAACTTTTCGATCTGGCAACTCTGGTTTAGTACGAGAAGAATTCCATAATAATCTATGAAAATTGAAATACGTCAAAGATATCAAATCTCGTTACACTTGATAATTTTTTTCTAATGGTTTTATTCGACTGATAAACAAGCAGAAAAAAATTTATGCATTCTTTTTGAAAACTATTGTTTAATTGCTGAGAAGCGAGTTCGTATTCAGACTTTGCTATCGTATCGAACAATCAAATAATGTTTATAGAAAAAGTATACATAGATTTTTTTTCTTAAGTATATGACGAGTAAAAATCTTGGAAAAATATCGAGTCTGTTGGTACTTAACCATTTTATGATGTATTTTTTTTCCAAATATAGTTTTTGCGACAATAACATTGATCAAGTCTATTAACAACAGAATACTTTCACAAGTAACTCAACAGACGCTATAATTTTTTCTTTTTAACTAGTAAAAAATATTTCATTGAATAATTATCTTACTTGAATAATATTTAATAACATTGTAAAATTAATATTAATTTTCATTCGATTTCTCTTATATTCCATTCCAATTAAATAGTAATTATATATGTTAATATTCTGTTCTTTATAACAATATTGTTATCTAATACATACTCATTTTTATTAATATTAAAATGTTTCCGAATTTGGTATAGTATTAATCATATGTTGATGATGAAAATAATAATAATGAAGAAATCTGACGATGTTGTTGTTTAATTATTAGTTAAATTAATTGTATACATGGATTTATCAACATTATTCATTAAACATAAAATTCTCCAAATCACTAAAAACATTATTATATATACATTTTTTAATCTTTTTTCTTTATTGATTAATACATACTTGTACATGAATAACAAATTGTTGATCTTGATGTGTATAGAATAGATATGTCGATATAAATAAATTTTTATTCACAAGAAGAATATATCTTGTTTCATTCTTTTCTGTTGTAATAAATCCACCTAACAAAGAAAGATTTTTTCAAACTTCTGTAATGGATTATTTTGATCTAAAATTTTGTTGATATTTAGATATGTTCATCCTAAAAGAATATTATTGTAAAAATTTAAGTGTTTAAAAACTTCCATTGTTTTGTTTTTTTCGACAGTCTATCAAATTGAATCAACAGTTTTTAACATTAAGTATGTCTACTTAAGTAATAGTTTGTCTGATGTAATATATTTTGTATTTTATCATAACAAATAAAATAATTATACATAAATGTTGTTATTGAGTATCATTAATAAAAATAAACAAAACAATTTCATTTTCATTCCAAATGAGATACAATCTAAAAAAATTCATAAATAAATCATTATATATGTTAATGTTAACAAGAGAGAAAAGAATGAGAAAAGAAATATATGTGACGAGGAGAATTTTCTTTTTTTTTTTGTCTTTCTCTCGTCCATAAATCATTGTTCATGTTGTTGTTATCATTGACGATCAATGATCAACATGTACAATTAAATATGTATATCATTTTCGACGAGAGAAAAAAAAATGATTTTTCAGCGTATATATACGAATGATTTTCTATGTAAAATCATTCAAATTTTTGAATCAAATAATAATCATTTTTCTTTTTCTATTTTAGATCGACCTCGATGATACAAAATTAATCAAATCAAGATGAAGCCATACAATAAAAAGAATGTAGGTATCAGTTTTAATTTTTTTTCTTTTTTTTATTTAACGATTATAAGGATGGTGAAGTAAGACCTCCTATAATCTTTTTAATTTATTTTTTTTTCTTTTGTCTTAGGTTCGATGAATATTTTCAACTATGACAAGGTAACAGTGGGGTAAGTTAACTCATTCTTTTTTTTTGTCATTATATAACATTAAACTAATTTTTCTTTTTAGATAGTCATCGTCTTGCATTCAATATCAATTAATAGAATTGTAAGTATAGATTTCTTTATAGTTAATGAGATAGATAAGGTATGAGTGAGAGTGAGGATGGGGCTACTCTAAGATAAGTGAGATAGAGTTATGGGTGTTAGTTAGATCGTCTTCCCAGGTTAGACGTTAAACACTGGTCAGGAACTATCTTGGTGTCCGTGGCACACGACCAGGCTTATTCAGACTCATTGACATATCTCTCACGGGGAGGGTATGAATGATATGAGTCTGTCCTGCGCGTGCATGAGCGTTACGCTCGCCACGGCTCCACCAGGATGGTTCCTGGTCGCGCGCGCGCGAATAGAATAAGTCATTCATTTCATCAATTCAATGCGATTTATTTAAAACGAAAGGAACGCAAAAAAAAATCTATCACGACGAGTCTACTCGATTGAAAAGCGTTGAACACGGTTATTGTTACAATCGACGACATAGAGATTACCATGTCGATCGAAGGACAAACCCCAGGGATTGTGGAACTGATTTGCTCCTTCTCCTTGACCATTCCCACCCACAATGACAGTGCCCTGTTTCGCTCCTTTAGCCCAACGCATCACTCGATTATTCGACATGTCTGCCACATAGATGGTACCCGACGTATCGATGAACAGTCCACCAGGATCCGACAATTGTGTCAGAGCATTCCCTTGGCCTTGACCTCCAGCGACGACAATTCCTTCTTTTGCACCTTTATTCCATTTCATTACACGATGATTCTCGTTGTCTGACACGTAGACAGTCTGTTGTTGATCGACAAAGATGTAGTACGGACAGTTGAGTTGATTGAGATCAGCACCTTTGCCATTGCCACCAGCCACAATAGTTCCATTCTTGTCTCCTATTTGATATCGTCTTACTTCATCTTCATTGGTATCAGAGATGTAGAGATATCTCTGATCATCCATGGCCAATCCCCAACACGAGATGTTGTCGATGAGGGTTTCTCCTTGTGTTGTACCACTACGACGAGACCATCGTACGACTCGTTCATTCATCCGGTCACAAATAATGAGACTATCCGTCTCTTTGTCAATCAACACATCGGTTGGACCATTCAATTGATCCAATCGATTTCCTGCGTCATGATCACCAGCCACTACTTGTCCATTCGTATCACCCATCTTACATTGGATGATACGATGATTCCAGAAGTCAGCGATGACCATCGTTTGATCATCATCAACGAAGAGACCATGAGGCCAGTCGAGTTGATTGGTGCCACTGCCTTTTCTATGGCTTCCAGCAACAGTCACTCCATTCTGTTTCCATCGCGCATCAATTGGAATACTGAGAATTACTACAATGAACAAAAAAGAAAAGAAATCGTCGTTGTTGAAGAGATTCCATCTCTCGTGGGAGCAGGCGCTACAAATACGACATGCGTCTTTGAGAATACTCGTTCCGCAGGTAAAAATTCAGAAGTCTTTTCCTAGTTTCTTATGAGAAAAGAAGGATTTGGTAACGATTCTTACATCTATGTTACTTCTAGTTCTTGCTAAGATCTTTTTGATCATAAAAATAACACCTGGAGATTGCTGTAAGGAGGTTCTCCAAGAAAGAGTAATACTAATTCCATGTAAGTTTTTGATAGAAAAACATAAGGATCTGAGGATTTTATTCAGAATTGCAAGAATTCAGAATCTTTTTGGCAGAATGATCATTTATATGAACATCAGAGAAGATTCTATCTGCATCTTGTGAGAAGAATATCGAATCGTTGAACAACAAAATATCAAACCCAATTCCTATGTTTTTTAGTAAACCTTAAGGATACATGATTTTCTGTATGATGAATGTAGATCTGCCGAAGAATCTTCGAAGTATTTACATAGAGAATACCGGTGAAATTTTTTAAGGCTTTTGATAAGTTATGTGAAGCTGTTCGAAGAACAACCGTGATGTACTCTGAGTAAGATCATGAGAAGATTGGGATACAGGCGAAACTGAACAAAGTTGAGAGGATTCCACGCGAATCTATGTAATCTGAGAGGGCTTCTACTTTTGCAAATGTTGAAAAGATGGATGTCAATCCTAACGGAGTTCTCCAGTGGCAAACATTGGAATCTATGGATTTTATGGGCTTTGAAAAGAAAGTGTTCTAAAATACGATTTTTAACTTTTGATGAACACCATCTTCAAACCACTGTATAAGGGTCCTCAAAGAGAATCTTGGTGACTAAATAAGATACTCTGTCAAAATCTGAAAATCTAAAAATAATGAATATCTTCTATCAGGATTATGCTATAATCCTTATGTAGTACTTGTTCTGAGAAGTCTTCTTTGAAGTTGCATGTTATGGATATGTTGAGGAGGATCTGAAGAGTAAGTATTTTGAAATAGTTGATATCAGAGTGAAAATGGAGTAGGAACAGGACAGAATGGAGGTGCCTATCTTTGAATTTTATGAGAAAGTTTATAAAGCAATAAATTAATGTGCTACTATTTGATATCAATCGTAGATTTAATTATGTTCAAAAACTTATGTGTATTTAACCCTCGGATGCCCAAGCTAATTTTTGGAGATAATATGATAACATGTATTCATATTTCTATGATTTTGATTGCTGAACTAATATTCTTGCTCAAATTAGATTGTTTTCCTCTTCCGTCTTGTAAAGTAATTATTAGAATTATAGTTTTCCTTTATTTAGAACAGTAAATACAAAAAATTTCCTGAACAAAGTGCTCATCACAAACCGATTCTGGGAGGATTTTCACTGAATCCTTCTGAACGTTATGAATATCATAGGCACAAGGACGGATATATATAATAGAAATCTCGGGACAATAATAATCTTGTCGAAGATTTTGAACAATAATATTGAAAATAGAGTAGATGCGATGCCATGCACAAAAAGAATGCAAGAGAGAAGGGATATGCATGAGATGTAAAGTAGACAGGAAAGAAAAAAGAGAAATATACTAGAAGAGATTAAAAAGAGACAGTGAAAATAGATGCATTTTTTTAAAGTTTTTGTCAGATTCAGAATAAAAGATGTCATTGGACATCTTATTAGATTCTGAGATTAAGAAATATATAAGAGCAGAGTAAAGGACTCTGATCTGATTTTATCTGACTAAATAGGATTCATAAACAAAAGAAAGTTATAGCATTACATAATCCAAGTCTTGTCTGCTCTTATTTGATTCTGTGTGATCTATCATCTTCTTTTACTTATTTGAGAATTGTTGATTCAATAGTTTCTATTATGGAGAAATGTACAAAATACACAAAATTGTCCTGTGCAAGGCAATATTTTCTATTAATGGAATCGTAAAATCATATTTGACTTCAAAAATAAATGCTTTGTATAATAGATTAGTCAAAGTACAGATATATCTCGGAAATTTTCACATAATAGAGAACATTTTTCTTCGCAAAATATTTCGACAGAAAAATATCGATGTCGAAGTTTTTCTAACGCTATCAGGAGATAAAAAATAAAATTTTTTTCTATGTATCCTCTACTATATATCGCTCTGGAAAAAAATAGTTAGACTCGGTATTTTCGATATATTGTTACTATAAATTGACATTTTGAGAAAAGTAATTATATATTCGGATAGCCCGTGGAATTCTCTACAACTCTCTATGTATAAGTTTTGAATTGCATTTGTTTCCTGGAAATAAATTCAAGAATACTAAAGGTACCCTTATTGCCAGATTCCCACAAAAATTTACATCTCATTGATTTTTTCAAATTTATTTCCAGGAAACAAATGCAATTCAAAACTTATACATAGAGAGTTGTAGAGAATTCCACGGGCTATTCGAATATATAATTACTTTTTTCAAAATGTCAATTTATAGTAACAATATATCGAAAATACCGAGTCTAACTGTTTTTTTCTAGGGGGATATATATCACATGTAAATTATCATCCAAAATCGATTATACTTAATCGACATTCACTATCGTTCAATATCAAAGTAAAATAAATAACATAGTCGATATCAGTACAAAAACTACAACAGAACATACACTAATGCCTTTAGTTCATCGGGGATGCATTTTTCATGAATACTTTTCTTTAAGCTGTAATATCTCTGATTTGACGTATTTTTTATATTGATGTCAAATATATTATTCAATTTGGTCTAACATAGAGCTAGGATGAAAAAAAAATCGACGAAATACACCAATTCATTTTTCAAAGTTTCCTATGATTTTATTATTGAAATTTAAAACAATCTATTTTCTCAATACTAAAACAAAGTCGAAAACCCAAATGATATAGAGGCATTTCATATTCGATGTTCAATGATTCTAATGAAAGATGACACTGAATCTAAACTCTTCTCATTAAAGAGAAACATGTATTTATAAAAATATCTATCGACATATGATTGTTTTCATAAATGTCGAAATCCAACTCTTATTTTAAGTAGATATCTATACCTATCCACTAGTTGAACGATCTTTCCCTAAAATTTATGATAGAATTACGTTGTCTGTCACATGATCTATATAAATAGTATAGAATGTATAATGTGTAGTCGGAATATAGGGTTTCATATAAGACAAACAAGTCAAAAAAAATTTTCCTTTAACTTCATTGAAATCAGACATGAAATGAATGGAATAGATCTTTTTCTATCATGTTCAAGCATTTCAATTCATTTTCATTTCAATTATCAACAGACAGGTTCAATAAAATTATGTTTATGAGATAAAATATGATATTTGACTATATTTATGATAATGATCAAATTTCATACGGTTTCATGTACGTTTAGTCTGGGTTTGTTGAACAAACGACTATGGTTATGTTATTGTCTAATAGAGAGCGAATGAAAATTAACCTTCTTATCAGCGTAAAAAATTAAAAGAAATTACATGACAATGAAGAAATGAACAAATTG